GAGCCTTCTTGGGGCTGGCGTCGTACTACCGGCGCTTCATCAAGGGCTTTGCCGCGATTGCACGACCGCTAACGAAGCTGTTACGGAAGGACCAGCCTCTCAATTGGGACGCARAGTGTCAGCAGGTCATTGCAACCCTYAAGGACGCTCTGGCAACGGCCCCTATTTTGATTCGGCCAGACCCCTCGAAGCAGTTCATCCTCATCACGGACTGACAACCGGAAGCTATTTCCGCTATTCTAGCACAGAAGGGGAACAATGGTCGCGAACACGTCATCGAGTACGCGTCTCGAACCGTACCGGACGAACGAAGAAACGACTCCGCACCTCAAGGCGAGTGTTATGCAGTAGTTTGGGGAATCCAACACTTCCATCCGTATCTCTACGGACAGAAGTTTCGCCTCGTAACRGATCACGAGCCTCTGCTAGCGCTGAAGAAACTCACCAACTACACGGGCATGATTGGCCRTTRGGCGGTGCGACTACAAGAATACGACTTTGATATTGTCCATCGAAAGATCGAGCGGCACGGCAACGAGGACGGGCTGACACGTCTGCACCTACCTGTCAAAGTACCAAAGGGCGAGGAAATTACACCGTGGAAAGAGCCGGACTTGACCAACGAGCCGAAATACGGACAAGTGGCAGTTCTCCCACCTGGCAAGAAGCAAAACGGTGGCGATGGGTGATGGAGGTAACCCCACTACCCTTCTTTCTCCCCCTTCCTCCTCGTCTTTCCTCTCCCTGCCTGACAAATTTTGTTATTTTCACAAAGCTATCTCCCGCGTCTATTCGGTCTCCATGCGTCCTAACGGGGAGGGATATGTGGACTGGATAGATTGCCGACAATGTGTCGCACGAGCCCATGGGCCGTGCATCCAATACAGAAACGATACTAAACCGTGGTTGTTCCCCTTGTGCCGGACAGACAAGATTCCGACTGAGGCTCGCTTTTTGGATGCCACGTCAGAAGGATTGGAAAAGACCCGAAAGTTTAGAAGGGTCGAAGTATGGACGGATATTGCCTTAATTGCCACCCTGGTAGGTAACCCCCTCCAGGATTTCACCAAGGAAGATCGGAGGAGGGCCAACGAAAGGACTCGAGATTATCGATGGATAGAGGGTAGATTAGAAAAAAGAAAAACGGACGACAGTGGGATTTGGATGGTAGTGTCGCATCCGTTCATGCGGTATGACTGGGTTAAGACAGCTTACGAGGAAATTGCGGCCCATTTTGCCGTACGAATCACRGAGTCCGCTATCRACAAAAATTAGTGGTATTGGTCCAATATCCGCGACGATGTGAAATACATTGTCGCTAACTCTCAAGTCTGCGCCGCTGATAAGGCGCCGATTCAGCCACCAAGATTGATAGTGCCCACGGTTGTTGAATGRCCATTTCAAAGAGTGAGCATGGACACTACCGACATAGTGGTGCCCTCTGACCCTAMTAGTTGCGAATATTCAGTCCTATTGGTATTTGTYGACCATTTCTCAAAATGGATCGAAGCGTAWCCTTGTCGCACGCGGCAAGCCACGGAAATCGCGCGATATGTCAACCGTTTCCTCGGGATGCATCAGGATACGGAAGAGATCCTGACCGATAACGAAGTGGAATTCAGGGGACAAGTGTTAAAGAACCTGGTCATATATGGCGTCGCCATACGGAACACCGCACCCCATATGTCACAATCCAATGGGCTGGTCGAAAATGCCAACCGGGTGATAAAGACCGCATTGCGATGAAATATCRCGGCACGGGATCCGAGGCCCTGGCCCGACATCGTCGATCACATCCTGGCGRTCCATCGCGGAACGCCTCACGAATCGACGGGGCTAAGCCCCTTCCAATTAAGGACCAATAGCGTCGCTTGCGTTTCAATACCAAGCCTCCCCGACGAGTCTACATTGAACCGACGGCCCACCAGGGCCACGGCTAAGGACAAGGCCAAACGGCACCTAGAGCTAATGGAACGGTCACTGCCCAGGCTAGCCCGAAAACGACAGAAAATGACCGAACTAGCCCAAGGCCGGCAGGTCCGGAGCTACGAGGCCCGAAATGGGAATGCGGGTCCGCGGCCCCAGTACAAATTGGGGGACGTGGTGAAGGTGAGGAAATGTGCTCGCCAGGGTAAGCTAGCGCCACGATTCTTCGGGCGATTTCGCGTGATCGAACTCGAACCTAACGGTGTGAACATCGTGCGACTTGCGCCCGTGGTCTCCGGCAGCCGATCGGCTTGACTAATCATCCGCCACGTATCCCACCTCCGTCCCCTTCCTCCTTCTCCATCTTCGCCTCCATCCGATTCCTCCTCCTCCGATAGGAAAGGCGACGACTATCTGTCTCATATCTCTCCGTCTCCTTCCTATTCTCTCTCTCTTACCCCGACACCATCGCCATGAGCTTTGCGACAGAGCAAGTGATCGGCGCGCGGCTTCTTACTCCGCGGGGGCGAATCAGTATCGTACGGCAGGTGCAGCGGCCCCATCTCTGCCCGGATCTCCTCCGGTTTGCGGCTTTCTTCAGTACGTCGGCGATCTATGCGGCGGCAGAGTTCCAANAAAATGACCGAACTAGCCCAAGGCCGGCAGGTCCGGAGCTACGAGGCCCGAAATGGGAATGCGGGTCCGCGGCCCCAGTACAAATTGGGGGACGTGGTGAAGGTGAGGAAATGTGCTCGCCAGGGTAAGCTAGCGCCACGATTCTTCGGGCGATTTCGCGTGATCGAACTCGAACCTAACGGTGTGAACATCGTGCGACTTGCGCCCGTGGTCTCCGGCAGCCGATCGGCTTGACTAATCATCCGCCACGTATCCCACCTCCGTCCCCTTCCTCCTTCTCCATCTTCGCCTCCATCCGATTCCTCCTCCTCCGATAGGAAAGGCGACGACTATCTGTCTCATATCTCTCCGTCTCCTTCCTATTCTCTCTCTCTTACCCCGACACCATCGCCATGAGCTTTGCGACAGAGCAAGTGATCGGCGCGCGGCTTCTTACTCCGCGGGGGCGAATCAGTATCGTACGGCAGGTGCAGCGGCCCCATCTCTGCCCGGATCTCCTCCGGTTTGCGGCTTTCTTCAGTACGTCGGCGATCTATGCGGCGGCAGAGTTCCAATTCGCAGAAGAAGCAAATACGGGCGTTCTGGCCGAGATCTCGGCCTTTCGYCGGCTATCCCCTCCCGGGATTAGCCATATCGYTGTCGTTGTCGTCTTTACGGGGGATATCACAGCGATTCCGTCGGCGAATCACTCCGACATCTATCGGACGTTGCGCACTTWGGCTGGGGAAGTGAGGACGGCGTGCACGGATCTTCTGGCTCGACGAGGAGATACCATCGTACCGGCGCATGACACGGACCTCCAGCTCCGCTCGTCTCGAAGTTCGCCCGCGATCGTGCTTCCGGAGCTTCGTCCCTTCGAGCCGCCCCAATGAGTCTTCGTCACGTCTCCTATTTTGGCCTCCCCTCCAGCATCCCCACCCTTTGGCAGTCTGCCCRGGCTCCCACCCTCTCCTACCGTGTTAAGGAGGACAGTGCGCTGCTATTGAGTGAGGAGAAGTGGGACGCGTGGTGGAAAAACTATATCGAGCTCGCTTTCTGCCTACTGGAGATAGAGTTCGGCTGGTGAGAGGCGGCCCCATTCGGAGAAGGGCCGGAGCACCCAGAAGACAGCGTGGAGTTTCTGATCATCCAAGCCTGGAGGACAGCGGAGCAGGGCGACCTGCTGGGATTCCTGTTCGGGAAGGTGGAGGAGGGCAATCTCACCTTGATCACGGACGAGTTGCTGGTGTTTCTGACTCAGCCGGCGGACGATCTGCCCCTGGACATCTTGTCGCGCAGTGACAAGCAGCCTGGCACCCACGTGTTGTCTCGAACGCTCGAGCCGCACCTTGTGTGGTCCACGTGCACGGAAATCGACGAGGACAATTGTCTCTATCCCTCCCAGGCGCTTTACTTGGAGATCGACGTTACCGATCTCACGTTTTGGGACCCGATTGCGAGACAAAACATCGCGCACGACGAGGAGATAAGGGGAGCAGACGAAGAAGCGGAAGAAGAAGAGCCATCAAGTGAGGAACGGGACGATCCGGACTACGTACCGGAAAGAGAGGCGGGGATAGTCGACGAATCAAATCAGCCGCAGGTAAAGGACGAAGGGGAGGAATCAGAAGAAGAAGAAGGAAGCGAGCTATCAGGATCGGAGTGTGAAGGATTCGAGGCTGAAGTGCGCGACGAGGCGCGAGAACGAGCACGAGAGCGGAGGAAACGGAAGCGCCAGGAGACCACGGAGGGAAAGCGACCCGCAACAGACGTATCCTCTGTCGATCCGTCGATCGGGGACCCGTGGCGTGATCCAGAGCCGCCAGAGGAGGAAGACGATGGAACCACAGCGGAGGGATCACGCGGCAGAAGAAGAAGAAGAAATGCATCATCAGCTCCCTCCGGTTCCCTGTCCCGATCCTCCCTTCATCTACATCAAGATCTCGGCGCTCGGGCTTCGTCCCCGGTCGTTCTCTCGCCGACCCCGTGACTACCTCATGCTCACCCGCCTTTCCCATAGACCCCCGTTCCCCGATGGTTGGTGTCCTTTCCCTCATCACCTTTTCTACCATCTCTACGCTACCCGCCTTCTAGTCTCCGTCTATCCACACGTCACTACTCGCTCTGTGGTTGACTCCTTTCTCCTTCATGCGCTCCTGTTTAGCGCAGATTGGCAGGAATATAACCACRTAGAAATATACTRTATTGTGTYCGGAACTATTCCCGCYTGCGAAAATTATGAAGATTTTCRCGCCCCCCTGCGACGGACCCTCTCCACCATCTACCCCGACTATATTACCGCCTTTCGTCATCTTCATGAGGTCCCTCGTTTCCCCMGCATCCATCGCTCCTTCCACTACGCTACCCTTCCTAATTTCGCCTCTCCCGCCATGAATCGCTTCATGCCCCCTCTCCCCCTTAACCATCCGCCACCTCCACCCTCGATGATCCGACTACCATTTCCCGGAAACGTCTAAGGTCTAGGGTCTACCCCCCCTGTTTACACTGATGMATGGTTGATGGCACGTGTCGCGGCGACGGCACGAGAAAGATCCCGTCCTTGGATCGTCGAGAGCCCAATCTGAGGAACTAGTAGAAGAGCAGAACTGCCACGTTGGATGACGTCCGCACGCAATTGAACGGTAAGTGGCATAAAGTGAAGTGCTCCGCGTGTCCATCGATTAGAGAAATCGACACGTGTCAACAAGCAAGCAGGAGCTTGCTAATATTGGAA